TCACTTAAGTGAAGGTCCTGATGCAGATTTATTATATTCTAAACTTACCTGATGATGAACGAATTAAGCCTCGTTCGAAACGATCGTCGTAAGTAGCTTGGAATAATCTTGTGAAACACACCCTCACCCTCACAAACAAAACTCAGTGATTTTTTCGTTCTTCGATTACTCCAGCAGACAGGAACGCAAAACACGATGCTTCTACGCGTAAAAAATATTTGTTTGCAGAAATCAAACAAGTTTGAAAGTGGCAACTCTCACCAACTCATTTTCTTCTAACAAAAGAACATTTTTTGGCATTAAAGTGTGCGCTTTTTTTGTTTCAAGGTATCGAATTTTTCTTTCATAGCGTTACTTCAGCTATCATCTTTCACTCTACGCGCTTGTGAACAAAAAAATTACACAAATTAAACTGGAAAATGGAAATCATAGCAAGCACTTTATTCTCTGTTAATCCGGCAGTTTCATTAGCTGATATTAGTCTTAATTTAATGCTTTTCGCCGAAAACCATTTCGTCGAAAGACTTGCAGGACGCTCTAGGCCATTGCCCTTCATTTAATTCGTACATAGGTTTATTAAGCTTGAACAGATTAACTCATTTTGTCCTCACCCTTATCTATGAGTGCCCTTCGTGGCTAAAAAGTATTTTCGACGAAGTTTTTCTCGGCGAAGAGCATAGATACCTGTAAATATACATGACTCCTTTCCCTTTATCTTTGGACCGTCTCAATCTCCAGAATGGCTCATCCGTTTGATCTGAATGTTGAGTTTGTTCCATTTGAGTTTCTTCCCAACTATCTTTGGTCTGGCTACTGAAAAAGAATTACCCAAAGCAGTGAGACCGATTGAGCAACGTTCTGCTGGAAATGGGTGCGGGTGTGGATGGGTGTGGGTTTATTGACGCTTTACTCACAACCGACATCCACAACTAACACACACATCTGCACTAACCCACCCCCCACCCACACTCACACCCACACCCTCAACTGGATGTTGATCCATTTTGAAATTGAATTTAGATAAGAATAAATGAATTATTTCAAATCTATCTTCTTTATTTTTAGATATTAAATTATCATTTACTGTTCTTTACTAAAACACATTATTGTTTGATTGAAAACGAAAGCATCAACGACACAATAAGTATGTTGAACTTCTTACTTGATATCATCTGATGAGAAAACTGATTAGATACATTTATCCAATTTTAGGAATGTCTACTGAAACTACTTCTGTATTGAAATTAAGGGCACTTGGTCGTCCATTTCAGCTTGGAATGCTGTATGACGCAAGAAATGATGAGCTTATTCCTGGTATTACATTGTGGAATCCAACAGTATTAGAGAAAAATATTAAGTCTGTCGACAATACTCGAGAAACTGGTTATAAAATTTCCACAGAAGATACATTCGAAGAAAAGTCATCAATGCTTGGAATCAATGCAGAATTAAAACTAAGTGTTCTAGCTGGCCTTGTTGAAGTATCTGGTTCAGCTGAATATATTAATGATCGTAAGAAAACTGAACATGTCGAACGTCTGACATTGCAGTATTCGACAAAAACACGTTTTGATCATCTAACAATGACTCATTTGGGTAGAGGAAATGCGAATCATCCAGAAGTATTTGATCAAAAAATCGCTACACATGTTGTTACTGGTATTTTCTATGGTGCGGAAGCATATTTGATATTTGATCGAACATATTCTAGTACTGAAGATCGCACAAAAGTTCAAGGCTTGGTAAAGGCAGCGGTGCCATCACTTACCATCACTTCTTGGTCCAGATGACAAAAAAGCTGTTGCAAAACAAGTATGGTTATGTCCACTTCATTTATTAGATAATACAGCAGCGAGAATAAGTCGCCAAATTAGCAACAACTTAGTTAATCAATCTGTAGAACTTATGGAGAACCTAAATCAATTCAAAATTAAAGCGAAAGATTTAGAAAACAGTTTAGCAACTAACAGTATGTTACAGCTAATTAAACGACAATTGTCAACATTTAGTAGCCGTATCTCTGAATTTGAAAGTAACACGAAAAGAAAACTGTTGGAAATACTGCCCAAGATTCGTAGTGGTAATATGGAAGAAAAAGAATTAGCTAATCTGTTTAAACAAGTCGATAGATCTCCATTTAACAAACAAAACTTAGAAGTTTGGCTTGAGAAAAAAGCACAAGAGATAGAGATACTTACGAATTTTGTCAGCATTTTAGCTCAGGAAAAGAATATTGATTGGTCGCAATCATCACTCGACAAAGCTCGGAGCAATGTAAATCATAAATTTATATTTCGTCTGATTATTCATGTTATCGGTAAAAATGACTCGTTTTTACAGAACATGTGTCAATATCTTCAAGACGATGCTTTTAATCGAACTCATGAAGAGACGTCGATCCATCACTGGTTTGATCAAGATGATGCTTTTGAATCGAGTCGACAAAACATTACGCTATTTATTAAATTTGCTGAAGCAAATAAAGAGAATAAAAATTGTCAATTAGTTGCTGATGAACAATATTCTGATGATTTTGAAAAGAAGAAAGGAATATCAATTATTTCTTATGAAGGTGGCCGCCGTACGAATACTAAAATACCTAGTGAACCAGAACTTCATGCAACAGTTTTGGCAGATCGAACTGTAAAAATCGAATGGTCAAAACCACAGTTTGGAAGTGAAACTGTTCAGAAATACGAGATTTATGGCCTAAAAAATTCAAATAATCAATGGAATTTATTATCAACCACTACGGATCCAACGAAATCAACAATTATTTCAAATCTTAATGGAAAATATCAATTCAAAATAAAAGGAATTACTTTATTTGGTGTTACACCTGAAAGTGATATTAGCAATACAATTGGTAAGTATGATTTTTTTATTGTGTAGAAAAAGTTCTGACTATAACTATCATCATTTCTACTTTTTATCCCTTCAAATGATGTAGCGAATATTTCTAATTTTTGCCGTAATACATGACTGGCAGAAAGCTAGACGTCGAAATTTCTAAAATATTTATACTCAAAATCCATCAAAACATTTATTTTTAATGTTTTCTTTTGTTTGAATTAAGTAATTAAATCAAAAATATCAAAATTAATCACAGTTTTGGAAGAATTTTTCATTTTATTCTTTGAAATTTTGAATTTCATTTATTTTAATTAAGAACAAAGAGAAATCTTTGAGTAATGAAAATTTTCATTTTCATTAGTCTTCGACGTCACAAATCTCATACTGGAAATTTATTTAAACAAAATAAAATAAATAAGATTTCGTCAATATGAAACATTTGTAAAGCTATTTTCTTTTTCTTGACAAATCTCGATGAAAAAATAGTTCAATGACATATAATCAAATGAATTTTCCAAACACATTTACCAATTTCAATAGATCACATTTTCTTTGAATGATTTAAATAAAAATAACAATATTTACGTTTTGTTTTTACCTAAAAATTCAACAATTTTTGTTTTCATTTTTTAACATATTCGTTTTAAAAATAATTTATCAAACAATGTCTCTCCTCCAAATTCTTTGTTTTTCTTCTATTTATAGAACAAAGTTTAAGCAAAATTCATTCAAAGACAAAATGGAAACAACATGGAATTTGCATTACTGGAGAAAATGAAATAGGCCATCAATTAAATCAACTCTGTTGCCCTCAAGGTATTTATGCTGATCATAATCAAACTATTTATATTGCTGACTCTGTGAATCATCGTATTATTTCATGGAACTTTGGTGATAACAAGGGTCAAATCATTGCAGGTGGGAATGGAGAAGGAAATCAAAATAATCAGTTGAATTGGCCAACAGATATCATTGTAGACAAACAAAATAATTCTCTTATCATCGCCGAGGAGCGCAATAGACGAAGATACTATGACTGGTTTATCAGTTACAACTGAAACGCAACATGATGAGAGTTTAGAGTATGTAACGTGAAGTTCAAAGACATTTCAGTTAACATCTGTCCTATCCCTTCCAAAATGACGCCGAGCTGTGTTGTGGAATCTGGATAAGAAAGAACAAAAAAGGGATTTAGCGTTTTGGCTTTATAGCTGGATTAATTATATACTATTTTCTTCCAGATTCATATAAAGTATCCATGTGACGTACCAAAATATTCATTAGCAATACTAGAAGCACTGAAAATACCAGGTACTTCATTTAAAATAACTGCCGGTTTCTTTCTAAGATATTTGTGTTTGTAGGCGGATTTAATACTATTAAAAATGTATTTTTAAATATAACGTGTGAACATTATCTTCAAAATTATGCAGATAAAAAATCTGGAACTGATTATAAAAATTACTGTTGTTCGATTTTGGATAAAGTTGAATGTCCGGATTTAAAAAATGAAAATCGATATGCAAAACCATGGGTAATAAAGTTTCCTGCGTGGTAAAGAGACATACGAATG